CCCGCAGACGGCGCCCTGGCCTGACTGCGCCGCCCGCACCCCGCGTCCACTCCCGGGTCTCCCAGGTCCTGGCCCCGAGCTGCCCCTGCGAGAGGGTCACCAGACCCAGTCCGCGCCAGGTCTTCCAGGCCAAAATTACCGCTGTCATTCAGCATTTACTGATGAGCAAGATACTCCACGGGCGTGAAAGAGGCTGCTCCCGGCCCTTTCCAGGAGTTTACATTCAAAGAACCCACCGGTCGTGGGGCACAAAGGATAAAGAGACCTCGAAGAAAAGCCTCTGGAAAATCTCCCTCCCCCTTCACACCCCCGCCCCCCTGTTCTGATGGTATTTGGCAGGTTCTCCAGCACCAATGGATGGTGTCCTTCATGAATTTTTTTCCCTAAAGGCCCAACCAGAGAGTGTGATTCACGCCCGAGGAAGTGGACGGACACTAGCTCTTTTCATAGCACGGAGGCTCCGTGGAACTCTCAGAGCCGGCGTTGCCGAACACTCCCAGGACACCAGTTGTTCAGCTCCTCCCAAACATCTGGCCTTCCCAGACCTCGGAAGTAGGGACTGCGCCATCCTTTCCATCTTGTCTCCGCGGAGAGCGTGGTGAACTGTGATGAGTGTCCGCGTGTGCAGATGACACATTTTGACAGGAGCGCAGATTTAATTTTTCAGTTGAAAGGAACTGAGCAATGCAGTGCGGCAGAGGCTCTGGCTAGAAAAACACAGCAAGGCTATCAGAGAGCTCCCGATTCCCTTAACATCTACCTAATCCCAAGAGAGCTTTGTGAACCCTCAGACCTGTAATGGGGGCTTTTGGAAATGCTGTTGTGTTCTAAAACTGAAGAAACTATGAGCATGTTATTTACATTTTACGCAATGTTTACTGCAGTCTTTTCAAACCGTGAATGTAGAAAGTGCAAGTAAAACTTGAGGAACATGACATCAGGTGGCTTCCTGTGTGCAGCCTTTCTTGGCTTCTCTTGGGCAGTTGCACTATCCTGTACAAACCAGGCATTTGATAAATGTTTGCTAACATGGCCCTTTGGATTCAGAGGTGCAGTTTCAAGCTGTATTGTACCCCCCACCCCAACCCCCGTGAGCATGGTTAGCATGCAAGGAAGGGAGAGAATGTTATGGATGAGGTGTATCAAGAAGGCCCAGCACCCAAAACTGATTTTTCTCTTAGCCTCAACCAAGCATCAAAGATTAATTTACTTTTCCATTAGGATCATTAATTTTGCTAACCAACATGCAGGGGAAATTTGTAGAGTATTAATTTAGAAACTTCTTTCCTGGAACAACAAACCTGAGGAAGGAAAATTGGAAGCATTTAAGGACACCTGAATGTATTCAGGGAGACAGTAACTTTGGGCACATGTTGAGCCCCACTCCCTTGTAGTCGGGCCAGCTGAATGAAATGAAGTAGAATTGTATTGTGTGCCCAAGAGTAAGGCAAGGCAGACGCAGGAGAGGAGAATGAGGTTTCTCTTCTTAGAGAATCAACAAACCTTTTGGGAATTCCTTTTCCTCCTCCTTGCTTCCCAGGCCCATTTGCTTCCCACCGGATACCCAGTGGCTCATTCCTGCTGCACCCTACCCAGACCTGTGAGCTCTTCTTCCTTCTGACCCCAGCCTCACCACACCCCCTCCTACCCAGGTCATGCCCTAAGCTCCCCTGAGGGAGAGGGGATGAATGTCATATCTGGTGTGTCCCTGATCCCTTATAGTACACTTTTATTTTCTCAAGGGTCTTCTGGCAGCAATGTACTAACCTCCTACTCCCTGAAAATAGGATGAAGTTAACTAAGGATGTTTTGGGGAGGGAGAGAGAGGTGAATCTCTGCCACTCAAATTACAGCACGTAGTCCTTCCTGACTAGGACCAACCCTGGCCAACTCCCTTATCCCTGCATGTACCAGGGACCTAACATTTGGGAGCAGGAATACAGGAAAATTATCTTTCATTTACAGTTCCAAGTCTGTTCTCTAAGTAATGACAGCTATTAGATGGAGGCTTATCATCCTTGTAAGACAGCCTCATTCTCACATCCAGACAAAAATGGTCTTGCTCCACACCTATCTTCAGTTGCTTCTCTTCAGGATGCTCTTGGCAGTGAAGTTTCTCTTTCAGTGTCTATATTTTATCAAATATTCATGTACAAGTTATATTATGAAAAACGACTTCTTTTTATAAATAATGGTGCCACTTTGTGATAGTCTGCCCTTCCTTTAAACTTTAAACGTAGTACATGCCAGAATAAATTTAAGGTGATTTAATATGAACATTGGAATTCTCATCATTGCTTGCCAGCCCACCTTTCTGAGAGGTCATCATTGCTGAGACACTACCCATCCATTTCCCATACCTGTTACAAATTCTTCATTCCAGGAAAGGGGAATGTTATGATTAAAAATGATGAGGAATCCTTCTCTTTAGTGTCCTTAACGGTTTGACTTTTCATTTCTTTCAAGGTTACTCTAAAGGGATCATAATTTTGCCACAGTCCAATATCTCCTAATTGTGACTCAATTTAAAGTCTGAATTTTGATTTTTAATTCCAGAGCATCTATCATTGGCTTTATTTCCTCCTTCAAATATAAACAAAATCTTCTATACTTTCAACGTGATTGTGTTTTCTCTTCTAACTTCCTTTGCTACTTCAGAAAATGAGAATTTTGCTAATAGTAAAATCCTCAAATCCTAGCAAAGCAAGTCCTACTTGCTTGCTTTTCCAACTAATCCATCATAAGAGCAGTGATGCTCCTAGAATATAGCTTTATGAAAAATTGCAGCTGACATGCACCACAATGTCCAACCAAGCTTTCCTCTAGAATACTTTATTTAGCTTCACCCCTTTTATCTCTGTTCACAAAGCTAGGTCAGATTGCGATTTCCAGCCTCCTTGCTAACCTTTCTAATTCTAGTCTCTCTCTTGCTTGCTTGCAATTTTCTCTACACTCAGAGCTGTACATCTCTTTGGGCTGTTTATTGGAGTCATCCAGAGAATATTAAAAAAATGTTAAAAAAAAAAAAAGAGAACAAACCCACTGATGGCTGGTTCCCACCTCTAGGTTTAATCATTCTGCTGTGTAGCCCGGGCACCAGGGCTACAAAACTCTCCAGTTAATTCTAATATGCAGCCAGAGTTAAGGACTACTGAAATGAGTCATCTTCCAAACTACATTTTACACCAAGTCTTCTCAGAATATTGGGGTGGCTCCAAATTGCCTCAGGTAATCAAATTAAAATACCTAATCCTGTGCTGTAAGACTCTTTGCCAATTGACTAGAATAGTCCCCTTTCAAAACAGCTTAAATTTATCTCCTTCCTAGAGCTTCCCCAGATTAGTCTCACCTGGCTGCCTAAGACTCATTGTTCCCAAGTCTCCGAGTGTTCCAACTGGTACTGGTTTACAAGCTCTTGGACGACAGTTGATTGTGTGTATTATTGTTTTAATCTAGCTTTCATAGTTATCTGTCAGAGGCTTTACTTGTAATCTAAATCTCTCTGAAGTCCCACTAGGTCAACAGACAGTCTCAAAATAAACAGAAATGTTATTCTTAGCAGCACTTTCTCCTACCTACCAGAAAGAACATTCCCTGACACAAGGGCAGTTCTTTTTTTTTTTTTAATCACCGCAATTAAAGCCAACAGTTGTAAGGATTTGCCTGCTTGGGGTTACTTTTTGTTTCTTACAAAAATAAAAAAACAGCCTAGATAGCTTCATCTATCTCCCTGACTCTCCTTTCCAGCATTCATTTACTTTAGGCATTGAAATTTGGCTTCCACATCTACCTCTCAACTGAAACCACTCTTTACTATGTCACCACTGCCATTTTCATTCATGTGTTTGTCCATTTATTCTATCATTTATTAGTAGTAAATGCTTTTAATTAAATAATTAACAATATTAAATTGCCCTTATCTAATGGTGGGAAATAATAAGCAATTAAATTATCACACGATAAATGCTGTGTCAGGAATCCTAACCAGACACAATGGAATCGTTGGGGGAAGAGTCTTAGCTTAGTGTTCAAGCAGTGCAACTTCTCTGCAGTGTTTGAGGAGGTTAACCTCCACACCCCCTCCACCTTTAAATCTCTCCTTTCCTTCAACTTCCCTGATACTATACAACCCAGGACCACCTTCGATATCTCTGATTATTCCTTCTCTGCCCCCTTAACTTGTGTCATCTCCTCCCATTCCCTAAATAAAAATGTTCCACTTAAGAATGGAAGAGATTTTTGAGGGAGAAAGTGTAGACAGAAGAGACCACTGTTTCTCTCAGGAATCTCATTGACCCTTGGGGCTCTAGCTTCAAAGCTTCCACATCTGTATCTATAGTCCTACTCTCCCCTGAGACAGGTTTTCAACTTCCTGTTGAATATCTCCATCTGGAGAATCCATTCACACCTAATTAATGTCTAAAATAAAATGTATTACTTCCACCTCCCTCCCCTCCTGCAGGTTTCCCTTGTGCCTCTTTTACCCTCTCCCTAACAGATAACAGCCTGTGCCCAGGTCCTTTGATTGAAATGTGCCTTTTCAGTGTCATGGGAGTGGGTTCTCTTGTCCATTTCCTCCCCTTACAGGAGGTTTCCTTGCCCAATCCCATGTGCATCTGAATGCCAGATGTCAGTCATATCATCCCTGCTTCTTCACTGCCTATGGGACTCCATCCATAAGGTCATT